CCCCCCCCCCCCCCCCCCCCCCCCGCGAATACGAAAAAAATAACGTTAAACGAAACTTTAACTGCAAACGGCCTAAAAATTTCTTGATTTCTATTGAAATATTTAATGATTTGATCAACCAATAGAATCTACCTGATCTGGTGTAACTTAAAATTTTTTTTAAAAATCGATTTTTTTTTCGATTCAAAAAATTACAGAAGTGCTGTTCCTTTTTTAACGTTAATATCATGGCTTTATATAATTTTAAACGGATCCAGCCGATTCCTGCGGCAAATGACTTCTTGGATATCGTGCTTTCAAAGACGCAGAGAAAGACACCAACTGTAATTCATAAAAATTACAAAATTGGGCGAATAAGACAATTTTACATGCGCAAAGTCAAATTTACTCAAGATAGTTTCGATGAAAAATTAAATGCCATTATTGAGGAATTTCCGAAACTTGATGTAAGATTTAATAAAAACAATACCGTTTTTTTTTTTTATGTTAATAATCTTTAGGAAATATTAATCCTATTTTTTATAATAGGACATTCATCCTTTCTACTCAGATTTAATGAATGTATTATATGATAAAGATCATTACAAATTGGCTTTAGGTCAAATTAATATAGCGCGCCATCTTATTGATCAAGTTGCTAAAGAATATATTCGCCTATTGAAATTTGGTGATTCATTATATCGTTGCAAGCAATTAAAAAAAGCGGCTCTTGGAAGGTATGTACATTAATTTTAGTAACTTATATTGAAATTGGCTGATGCTAAAGTTTTAAATTTCCCATTTGAATGTATAAAATCCTTTAATTCTCTTTAATTAACAATTTTAACTCTAAATCCTAACTAAATACTAAACAGAAAACAAGGCTAAAAAAAAAATGTGCCTCCAAAAATTTCAATATTTTAAATATTTTATAGCATTTTTATAATAAAATTACAGCAAAAGCTAATTTCAACATAAGACGCAATATTATTTATCTAAAAATCATTAATGAATCACGGAATTAATCTATTTTACGTATATCTTAATAGAATGGCTACTATTATGAAACGTCAAAAAGACAGTCTAGCGTATTTGGAACAAGTTCGACAACACTTGGCTCGATTACCTTCAATAGATCCAAATACTCGTACATTATTAATTTGTGGTTATCCAAATGTTGGTAAATCTAGTTTCATGAATAAAATTACTAGAGCAGATGTTGATGTACAACCTTATGCTTTCACTACAAAATCGTTGTTTGTTGGCCATATGGATTACAAATATCTTAGATGGCAGGTGAACAAATAAGTCTACTATTTATTTAAAATTTTTTTAATTTTTAATATTCTTAATAACATATTTCTATTTAGGTAATTGATACCCCTGGTATATTAGATCGTTCACTTGAACAGATGAATACCATTGAAATGCAATCTGTCACAGCCTTAGCGCATCTTCGCGCATGTATCTTGTTTTTTATGGACCTTTCTGAACAATGCGGTTATAGTGTTACTGAACAGGTACTATTTTATTTTATTATTATTTGTTATTTTTTTAGCGACCACACCTTTATATATGTACATATTATTTTTTCTAAACAAAGATAACACTATATCAAAATGTCAAATCACTTTTTGTCAATAAACCAACATTTATTGTCATAAATAAAATTGATGTCACAAGACCAGAAGATATACCTCTTGAAGAACAAGCAATGTTAAAAGAAATTAGTGAAAAGGATGATGTTCAGATAGTTCAACTGAGTTGTCATACCGACGAAGGCTTAATGGATGTGAGAAATTTGGTACGTCTGAGAATTGAAGTTTTATTATCCTAATAACTTTATTTATCTAAACTGATCATATATATATATTATATATATTGGAATTATAGGCATGTGACAAATTATTAGCGACTCGTGTTGATTTCAAACTGAGAGGCTCAAAGATCAATGATGCTATTAACAAGATTCATCTTGCTGAACCGGTTGCGCGCGATGATTTACCACGTCCGCCTCATATCCCTGAAAGTGCTAAAAATCGACCTCGATTTGACATTAATGACCCAAAAAGGCCCAAATTGGAAAGGGATTTGGAAGCAGAAGGTGGCGGTCCCGGTGTATATAGTGTTGATTTTAAGAGTAAGTAAATAAAATTATTATTCATAGTTTATTACTTTATTTATATTAGCTTACTGTTTGTTTGTTTTTTATATTGCTTTAAACAGAAAAATATGAGCTTAAAAATGTAGACTGGAAATATGATATAATTCCAGAAGTTATGAATGGTAAAAACGTTGCCGATTTTATTGACCCAGATATTGAAGAAAGACTAGACGTTTTAGAGCGTGAAGAAGAACGCTTGGAAGCTAAAGGACAATACGATTCGGAAGAAAACATGGTAGAATATCTTTCCTTTAAACATTATTGATTATCTTGAAGATTATTTACATGAACTTTTGATAATTAATAGATAGATTCCGAAGAGGAAGAAATGAATAAAGTTGCTGAAGCAATTCGTGAAAAAAAGAAATTGATTGTACAGGCTCATAGAGCAAGCAAAATGATGAAAAATCGACCAATCATGCCAAGGACGGCTATTAAAAGGGTAAATTGAATTGTGTTATAATAATATCAAATGAATTCATTTCATGTCAAAAATTATTCATTATGGTTTTTTAGTCTATCGATGAGATGGAAGAGAAATTAGGTCAATTAGGTCTTGATACGAGTGTAGTTCGCGCGCGCAGTCGAACAAGAAAACGCAAACGATCTGAATCTGTTGGTGATGAAATTGTTCGAGACTCTTTAAGTGTTACAAGAAACGCATCGATGTCTCGTGATCCTAGTGGTTCTAGAGTAAACATTAAGGTAAATAATTGTCCTGTTTAAAAAAAGAAATTGTATGAAATGTTTGATTTACACCGAATTCTGATCTTATCTAGCAAAAGAAAGAAAGTGAAAAACAAAAGAAACTTGCTCAACGGAAACCTAATTTATATGCTAAAGTTGGTGAATCTGATAGGAGCATTAAATCTAAAAAACCTAAACACTTATTTAGCTCCAAGAGCAGTATTGGAAAAAGAGATTGGCGTTAATTTTAATTAATCTTTTTTTTTAAAATTATTATTGTTTACTTGTATCATCATTATACTCGTGAATTATGGCTATTGGTCAATGTGATAAGACTCGAATCGTTATATAGACTTTTGCCTTAAATAATGAAAATTTGAAAATTTTTTGACACAAATGTTTGCCCAAAAAGTTTTATTTCCTATGTAAGATGCACAAATCCCCTCGATTAGAAAACTTTTTATAAATCCTTACTTATATTTAGGATCAAGACCATTATGAAGTTATAACTTAGCGGCTCAGAGCCCGTGACAAAATAGAATTTGTCATGCGATAAGTTCGAATTTGTCACGTAGACTTCGAGCCGGCTCTATCGGTTCGGCTCATACAGGGCAGGGACTCGTAAAATTTTAGTAGCAATTTTTAGACGATTTTTGACACGGTTTTTTTTAAAATACATGCTTTTTTTTTTATCATTAGTTAGAGAATTGAATGAAATTTTTATTTTTGTATAAATATAATTTTTTCAAAAAGTTTTACTATTAGCAATCCTTAGCGTTAGGTGCGCCAGAATACCCATCACCCGCCCGCCCCCTTATATACCAGTGTAAAAAATTCCGCAAATATGCAGTATTAAAAAAACTTGTTTATGCATCGTAGGGAATCATTGTTAAAATGTATAAACCTAACCCAATGCTATTAATTAAATCACGTAATGGTTATTAAGAGCGTGCATTTTGCGCAAATAATAATACGTGCACAATTAACTTTTAATATTAGTATATACCAACCAACAATACATGCCGCGTAGCTAACAATAGATTTTATTTATTAATATATGAATAATAATTAACAATACATTCAATATAATGTAGAAATGTAAATTGTTTTTTTTTAATGCAATAATTTATAACATGAAATAAAGATTCTAATTTTTTTTATAAATATTCAAATTGAATTTTCGTTATTTCGTCTGGCATTTACATATCGATTATTATTTACAAAATCTAATAAACTTGATCATATATTATCGAATATAATTTGGTTACAATATAATCATAGACAAAAAGGCTTGAGACATAGCTTTGAATAGGGCTCAAAATACTATAAATAGTATTTTGCCGGCCATTCATAAAGTGTCGTTTTTGATCTATGATTTATTGAAAATTTTTTGATGGATCAAAAATGACACCTCGAACAATTACCGCTGGCGTAGTAAATGGCTGGCAAAATACTATATATAGTATTTTGAAATATAAAGTGCTAACACAAAGCCGGCTACGACTAAGACATATGATCACAACAGATAACAACTGTATACGATGTGAGAGGAAATTTCAAACTATTGAACGCTTTATTTTGGAGTGCCTAATTAGTTAACAGGTTTGAAACCTAGGTCATCGAATGCTAAACAACATCCTAAAAATGATTCTTTCAACGATATTATTTTCCCTACCCAACTTCCTTCAACAAATATTAAAAGAACAGTCAAGTGATTAAATATTATGAAAACTGGCGCTCATATACCTCCTCCAATAGGGCAATGACCTAATAAATACTTCTAATATCCCAACCATCATTTAAAAAGAGAACTTATTGTTCGCCAGCAGATTCCTTACACTGTAAATAAGGGTCTTCGATCGACCTTAAAATTTCTTAAAATTGTAAATAACAAGTAAAAACATCTATATATATATATCAAGGTAAATTCAAAAAAATCAAAAAGTGCTCACCACATTTTCTCAACTCTTCCTATACCGAATCGTTGGTTATGTAAAAAAAAAAAAAAGTTCGCTATATAAAATTATTATGTTTTAAGAAACCATGACCCTGCGATCGGTATCAAATGGTTTGTTACGAAAAGCATTGACTGGCAACTTGCCATCGATCGTCATTTTTATATTTATGCTGCGACTCACGTACGCGGATCGCATTTAAATTTTTTTATCTTAAAAAATAAGCACTTGATCATGTGAGCGTTTCATATACCATGTGTACCGTATAGCGCTCTATAAAGTTGGACAAGTGGAAATAAGGACATCAATGATTGTATTAAAGAACCCCCATTAAAAAGTACCCGTATATTAGTACTCGGGTATTATATTATTCACATGACCTTAAAATTTATTTAGAAAAGTTATATATTCGAATATCGATATGATTTTGCCCCATATATAATACCCCTACCGAACACAGTACAAGTTTTCTGGTATATACCCGGGGTACTTTATAGAGCGCTATCGCTATATGGTAATTAAGGGTAGATTATAGCATACCCCACGGAAATCCGGTTTTACTAATTTACCCCCTACTCCCTGATTGGGCGGTATCAAGCTGAATTTCCTTGTTTGGAATTAAAAAGCAATTCTATGTAGCGATCATCTAATTCATCTGATCAACTTGTAAACGCGAACGCGCTTTTGATTATATATATATAAATGTGTAGGTCAATTCTTTCTTTGCCAACAATCTAAGGTTATAAATATAATGGACACAAATGACAGTGAAATACACATAATACATAAATACTTCGAGCGAAATCCTACAGATTGGAGTATTCGCGAGTTCTTGGACAAATGTGAGGAGAAAAAATTTGATCTAAAAATCCAAACTTATTGCTTATCACTTGAAAACATCATTAAACAAGGAGAATTAAATCATAGACATGGTAAAGCTCAGCTCTTGCTAGATTGGTATAAAAAGGTATGCTTGTTTTAGTATAAGTGGCGTGGTAGAAGGCCCTACGAGACTTTCTATCATTCAAGTCTATGAGGCGAGCCACAAAGCCAGTCTGGGGCACAGAAAAAACTACGAGTTTCTTGTTTCTGTGTTCAAATCTACGAGGTAACCCAGCACTGGTACTACCGGTGTGCCAAATAAACTACGAGTTACATTTGGTGTTAAGTCTACAAGGCAATCTGGTAGATATTTATTTATCAAAGGTGTTATACGTACCGTAAAAAGACCGGGTCTCTTACACCCCACCAATATTAAAACTTAATATTAGACCCAGGTCTAGTACATAGTGGAGAGTTTTTACTATTAGATTTAAAAAGCATGCATATTTTTCATTCATGGGCAGCCTAAATATTTAAAAAAAAATGAATTTGGTTATTAGTTGGAAAAATTTAAAAAGCATGCATATTTTTCATTCATAGTGAGGCAAATTTGGTTATTAGTTTCACACCCGGGTCCAGTTTACGGTAATTTTTTTTTTCTCTTAGGGAAACAAACCTGTCTATAAAGAGGCAAGAAAATGGAGGAAAGAGAAGAAGGAGAAGAAAAAGAGCATAAATCGAAAAAAGTAATTGACGACAGGCCTTCGATCCATTTCCATCAACTGACGTTTTTACCCAATACCATTAATGGAATTAATAATACTGGAGCTTTTGATATTCATCTATTAAAAAAATCCAGGAAAAGAAAGAAAGATCAGGAAGATGAAGATGTAGAGGATGAAGGGGTAGATTCTTAAATCATGATTGTTTTGTAACTTCTTAGTTTCTTACTAACTCTTTTTCTTCGCCATTCAAGATTGACAACTCTGCAATACTTTATGATAGACTGATAATGGGAATTAATACTGCACGAGAAAATCAAACAGCAACGGCCTGTTTGATGACGTAAGTACAAACTAATCTTTTTTGTATTCTTTTGAGTCCTTCACTAACATGCATTCAAATTATAGTCCGCTATATTGGGGTGTCGTAGATCTTAGAGCAGAGAATGTCTCTCCGTACCCAAAACATTCTCGTGTGAAAGAATTTTTATCAGATATGGAAGTTCAAAATCTACAACAAACGGCTATTAAAATTATAACTGAAGAATCACATTTGAGTGTATCTGTTAAAACACTTCTGGAGATGATTCAATGTAGCACTTTTAGTCTCAGAAAACTCAGTAAGGAGAAAAGGGCTCGGGGAATTGCAGGTATTTGTTCCTTGCTTAAGATAGATGCGAAAATATATGACAAAGACACCCAGTACATTGGAGAATGTATGGATGCCTTGTAAGTTCTTAATCATAATCTTTAATTTTACTTGTCAGCATTTTTTTCATTAAGCCATGAATGTTATTATTGTAGTTATAGTTGGGTACATATATACGGTGGGACGATTAATATAGAACGAACAGTCAACATGTACCTAATTGGTCCATTCTCAAAAATGCCTGGTGTCAAATATATATAGTAAAAAGCTGTGTTTCTTGTTAATTCTATTCCACTAAAATAATTAACAATTCTTTATAGTGGAGAAAGCTATATGGATGCCGACAGAGATGAGAAGTCTTCCCAGTCAGAATTAGGAGCAACCGGAAAGGCATGTGATTATATTTTCTGAATAAGTTTTGTTTTGATTGGTATTTGGTGCGAATGTGTTATATAAACTAATAGGTAAATCTGTAGGGAAATGGGCACAAGATTGGCATTGGAGAGAACACCGGCCCCACTCATAAGGACCATTATAAAAAAAGTGCCATCGATTTCATAGATGTCATAAATGTTGCTCGATTGCAACATATTAGTTTTAAAACAAAGTGCATAGATAAAAGTGGGCACAATCCTCTTCCCTCAAATATTAAGAATGTATTGAATTCTGTATCGATTTCCTTTTTTCAAGTAATCAGGATGAAAATCCGATTTTACATTCTAATACAAATCAATAGCGATTTGTATAGTATATGGGAATGGTCTTCGCAAGATCTACCAAGAAAGGATGATGACATTATAACTGCGATGACTTTATGTAAAAGATTTCTAATCTATCGAGTAAACAATTTTCTCTCTATTTGTTTTTTTTAATTGATTTTTTTTTAAACTTCTGAGATATTTTGTAGAATCTTCTAAACCGAATATCCAATCTATCTCAAATAGCTATTAGACTTTCACAAATTTTCAGAGAAGATGTAGAGAATATGCAAGTTGTTCATATTAATAAATCTGTCAAATTGAGTCCTATAGTGGCTCTGAAAGAAAAAAGAGGTTAACAATCATTTAATATATCTCTTAGCTTCCTGAATCTTTATATTTAATCATTATAATTTTTTTTCTTGCAGTCTCTTCCAAGAAAAATGAGAAAAACACTTAGACTATTCACATGATGTAGCTATAGCATTTAATCGATTATGTACAAACATTAAAATAATAAAACAGAAAGTCATTTGCAAAATACATCATATTATAAAAACATTTAAAGTCTTAAGTTTATTCAATAAGACCCAATTCTTGAAGATGTTCTGAAATAACTGCATATAATGTTTTGGGCGAAATTGTTTTTTCATTTATGAAATATTTCGGATTTAATAAGGTAATCTGAAATAAAGATTCTGAAATTAAGATGAAAATCCAATAAATCTAATACCGCATTTACCCAACATATGTACCCGGGTATTTCTCTAGTTCGTTGTAGTACCCTGGGTATATGTATGGATAGGGTTGGGAATAGGCCAGGCCGGGCCTGGCAGGGCCCAAGGCCAAGCCCGTAAAAACCCAAAACCGGCTTATAAAAAAAAAAAAGCCCCGTAGCAGTGGCCCACTCAGGCCTGCTTATGCCCAATCAGTAGTGATGCAAAACGGCTGGCTCCGGCTCGGCTACGGCTCGCTATAATGGAGCTGAGCTAATTTTTGCTGAACTG